CTACATAAACACATCATATTAAACGTAATTATTGAAGAGGCAGCTTTTATATCTCAAGTGTAATTAATGACTGGAAAGGAATTTGAGTAGTATGTAGATATATGCATCAGAATACACAATGAGTGGAAATTACTTACTCTGCATTTTCTACTGATTTATTGTTGTGTGTGTGTGCCATTAAAAAAAATGGACACTAAATAATGTTTCGATTTAATTAGTAGTTGTAGATGAAACTTTTATATTTTTAACTTCTTTATTACTATGAAAATTGATTTTCATAACGGCAAGTTTAAAATATATAAGTTCAATGATGAATGAAAAAATCAATGGTTTTCAAAAAATCGGGAAGTTATTGGTTTCACCCGGTTTTCAAAAATAGAGTTCTCTTCAGATAGTCACGTTTTGGGGTCCTAGGAAGCTATTCTATGTGTGTATGGGTGCTCGTGCGTGTGCGTATGCGCATGTCCGCGCGTGTGCGTATGCGCATGTCCGCGCGTGCGCGCGTGCGTGCGTGCGTGTGTGTGTATGTACGGCATCTTTAGAAGGAATCAACCAATCAAGATGTCGACACGGTGTTAGAAAGTGTACATTGAGACTTCAAGCTTATTAGATTTTCAAGTCAATCGGTCGAGCCATTTCAAAGATTTACAAAAAAATAAAAATAAAAAATTCTTAAGTTTATCCTAAATAACTTTCAAAATATTTGATTAATCAACTCCAGACATCAGAAATACTTTACTGCACTTAAAAAGCTGCGTCAAATGCCGCCAAGCAAGTCAAAATCGAACGACGCTTTCAAAAATTATAGCCATTTAAACATTTCAAATAATCTTTTCGAGATCAAAAATTAAATAGATTTTCAAGCGTTGCGCTCGAAAATAAGCGGGAGGTTCCAGAGATAGTATGCAGGTCTACCGTTTTTCGTTCGAATCAAAATGCAGAGGCGTTGTCACCCGTGAGGACTAAGATGAAATGCCTCGTTACAAGTAAAAAGGGGTCTCCACTTACCATCAGGACATCATAGACTGTGTGCTCGTTGGTCACCCTATCCTATAAAAATCATATTTGTATTTCTTAGTACGTATGTAATGTTTTCAAAAATAAATAACGAGGCAATTGTCAAAATATTTGTCACCTTGGAAAGGTCGCGTCGCTACTCTACATGGTATCACGTGTAAAAATATATTAATTCCATACTCTTTAAGCTCGGGGGCTATTTCCATGTTATTTAGACATAACAAACCATTTTCATAAAATTTGTCCGTTTATCTGACTGTCTGTCTGTATGTCCGAGCTAATCTGACGGAATGGCTGAACCTTACGAACAGAAAGAAAGCAATACCAGGGGGGATCTAGGCTGTATTTTATCGGATGAACTTAGTTTTATTTTAAAAATGGAAAAATTCATAAAGTATTATGGCGTTTATCTTAAATCCAAATAACATCTCATTTATAGACCCTACCACAGAATAAATAATAGTACTACGTAACCTTACCCAGGCAATACCAGGGTACCTACGTCGCCGCTACTAAATAAACACATATTATACCTATACTATACTATTTTACTTATTAGCGCGTCATATATCGATAGTAAATAATATCGATCATTATTATATTATCATTATGCACACTAATTTTAGCATTTGCATTTACCGGTTTTCTAATTTCTTTTACAATAGATCCATGTGTAGTAACAAATTACAACCGTTTTGTATACTAAGTTAAAAAGTGTAAATGTATGTAGTTCTCTCTTTGTATGTAGTTATGAAATAATTGAAAATAAATATTATAGTTTTTTTTTATAAACAGAAAAGAAAGCGATTGTCAGAGGTCAGAGCCGGTCCGCGATAACTTTATTACACTTTTTTTATTTTATTTTAGATAAAAATAAAATAATAAGAGATTTATCAGTTTATGACACAAATTAATTATATAACATAAAGATTTTTTCCGTTATAGTACGTTTTATATTTATCATTTTAATTTTTATCATTTTAACCCACATTTCCACAGAAAAATTAAAACACAAAACGATTACTAGGTACTTGATTTTAAATTGAAACTTGTTAATACAATATTATAATGCCTTTCACAAAATCACTGAACTAGAAGCCGAGTGGCGGGCCGCGCCGCTAAATATAAACTGACGAGATCGAACTGAAATAGAAGGGCGAAATACATCCCTATGTATACCGACTTCGTACGGTAATGCATTGAGTTGAAATTAAAAAAAAAAAACTAAGTTTCTCCCACACGTGCTATTTTGACAGTAAACAGAGACGCTGACGCGTTGTAATGTCTTTTGTGGATTTCGAAAGAATGAATTACCTACGTTCTTTAGCACACGCGGAGTATTTACGGTAAAGTTTTATATTGGTCCTTAGTTAAGGTGAAATGGGTGATGAAGATGAGAAATGGATGAAATGGAAAAAAAAAATTTTCACGCTTTATAGATGCGCAGAAAATAAAAATTTTGTCATTAAAAACTACGAATTCACCTTTTTTTGAATCATTATGGAAGTCAAAGATTTTCTTGAGTGAATTATAATGGCCAAAAGACGGATTGACACATTTTTGCTCGATACAAAAATATCGCAGTTTCCTCAAAATCTCCAATTTTAGACAAAATCCTCAAAACCTTCCATTCGAATGTTTGCAATTAAATTTAGTCTATGTGTTCACCAGTAAATTACATAGGGGAATTATTTTCCGATAAAAAAATTATATATCATTTTAAAAAGAAATATCAAATAAATATCGTGCGATAAAAATGTGTGCGGATCGGCCAAACAGGAGCATATTGCCGCTCCTTACTCGTGCATCACTTTCATTTTGACACTCCTTCAGTCGTCCGTTAGCTTAACCGACAAAGGAATAAGCCACGCCCCCAAAACTTCGATACATTTTCAAGGTATCCTCTTAAGGGTGTCCGGCCTTTTTACTAAAATGTCCGGCAGCTCTTCTACGGCTTTCCGGTTTTAAGACCTAGCAACGCTAGTTGCAGCACGCACAGATCGGAACGACCGAGGTGGCACCTCACAATACAGTGTGAAACAACAGAATAATGCTGTTATGTTTCGGATGGCGCGTGTAAAGAACCGGAAACCACCAACAAGTCCACTGCTGAACATAGGCTTCCCCCAAGGAATGCCACACGAATCTAAGCCATTCTGCCGCCCCACACTTTACTTACGTTGCCTGTTGCCACTTGAAAACCTTTCTACTCCATCGGTTGCCGGTGCAAGCTTTTGCTTCCCGCTTAATGATTGGTTGGGCTATTTCATTTTATGTGGTTCTACTAAGGACAACTTCTTTTCAGAAAACAATAACGTATTAAACCAACTTACCACCACCTGATGGTAAGTGGCTACTGCAGTCGTTGGACACGTGCAGTTAACATCAAGCAAAGGCTTCATTTGCGTTGGTACCTCTGCGGATTAAGATGGAATGCCTCACAGCCTGTAGTTATACTCAGCACTCCGTACACTTTAGACCAGAACACAGAGCAAGCACTGCTGTTTGGCCGCAGGAATATGTAAGAGTGTACTGACCAGACACCCCCACCCCAACCACCCCTACAACTTCGGACACTACCATACAAGTGTTTTTGCTATACACGCCTAATGCGTCGCCTCGTCCAACGCTCTGTACGGTTGTAGCCTTACCCATAAGCGTAGGCTAAGGAAACAGCCGCAGTTCAGTCTCTTCAATTAGTGTTGAAACTAAGTGACAAGTATGCGGGGGGACGCAACGTTTGGCGTGCACTACAACACACAAGTAGGATAAAAGTGTTTTCAATAGCGCGCGTTTCTAATGCGTTTTTTGCACGGCAGAGCCACGCTGCAGCTATATTATGGCAGCATCACGAATGGGTCGGCTCAACCAGGGTAGGGCCACGTTCTCACAGAATACCAGCGTAAAAATAACAACTTAATGCCGCTGTGTTTCGTATAGTGATTGTAAAGAACAGGCGACTCTTTTCACTGAAAACGAGACATTCCATCTTAGTCCTCAGAGGTCACAAAGCATCTTAATTTTCATTCTTAATCAAGGATAAGTTTAAATGTCTATGGGCCACAGCATCCACTCATCAAAAGGTGAGTTACCATGTCAACCGAATTCTAAAAAAACAGGCGACTATATACATGTAACAAAAACCCTGTTGTTCCCCTTAAGTGCGTTATCAGAATCTATAATTAAACGTATAGGAGTGAGGCTCACAGAAAATGTACCATAACACACAAGAACTTGTAACACACTATAACACACTGGAATTGTGTAACACACTGGAAATGTTGTTAAGCTTGATGCACATAAAGCAATAAAAAATTGAATTTCAAATAAAATACGATTATAGATAGAATTATTTATTTAATAAAACAACTTAAAAAACAAAAAAGATCAAAATTTGTCCTTAGAATTACACAATCGTATTATTTTGGCATTATTTGAAATTTATATATATATATATATATATATATATATATATATATATATATATATATATATATATATGTTATATCTACCTACTTGTAAATATTCTACTCAAAATAAACCTTATCGCTAGGATCAGCTAAAAAGTATTCTTTTGGTCGTTTTGTGTTTTGTGTTATTTTAACCTGCTTAACTATTAAATCTTCAGTTACAGTGTCTTCATCTTTTATTTTGTGAATTACAAACTTTAGCTCCGGTTTTTAATGGTTTTCAGAAATCGTATGGTAAAATAAGATTTTCCTTCTTTTTTAAAACTGTCTTCCAAGAATCCTATGTAATACTTCCACGTGGTTCTTTGATAATACCTTACAAGTACAGTGTCTTTGAAAGATAGCCTCCATATGTCTGTATTAATTTTTGATGTCACTTCCGAGTCATTTTTTGCATTGTCAAAGTTATTTTCATCATCCTGCAGAGTCGTAGCAATCACAGATTGTTCAGCTAAATTAGTTTTAACTACTCCCTAATTTTCATTAGAAAAAATGTTTATTTCTCTTGTGTCTTTACCAGTGTATGTATTTTTTTTTATCTTCATGGCTTGATTGTTCTATTTTTTCTCTCTCTATTTTACTTGTGTCTGATATTTTTCTTAAATTTGTAACGTTCTTCTGTTCTTTCAATTGATAATCCATATGATCCAGATAATCATCATCTGATAAGATATCATCTGTAATGTGATACTCTTCATCAGAAGTATCATGCAAAGAAATCGTCATATCTTCGTCTGTACTGCTCTCCTTTTCCGTTTTAAGTTTCTTATTTGTTTTAAGGTGTATGTCTTTTATTTTTCTTTTCTTTGAACATTTCTTCATTCTGTCATGATAATTTTCTTTCAAACTTTTGCTAGCAATGTCTGTTTTGAGGTTTATTTGTTTTAAATTGAATGGTCCATATTGTCTCAAATTAAAATAAGACCTGTTTTCTTAAGTATTTTTAATGTCAGCTAATACTGTTATAGACGTTTTAGACGGAATAGATTTTTCATTTAACATTTCTGTTTGCTTTAGCAAGTCCGCAGATTTCAGATTGAGACAGTCGCAAAAACCTGGTCTACTCTTTTCGCAGAAGCAACTTAAACAACGGTAGGAAATAGAGTTAGCTGAGTCAACATTGTTAATAATCTGATGTATTTTCATCGTGTTTGGCACTGGTACGAGTTCTACTAATTCGTTCAGCATGGCATCTTCAGGTATAAAGAAAAGCTGTATTTTGGTTTCAGACGCTTGTAAAAATTCATAAGCTGTTTTAGCGTCAGGAACATTTGAACCATAAGCGACAATTGAGTCTAATTTTCTTTTAATGGCTCCTCCTACACCATCAGCGGCTCCTTTACCGTGTGACGCTTCGTAAAAGTTCCACGTGGAAAATGGAAAGCCCAACTCTTTCGTCAGTTTTGCGAAATAATAAAAGTTTTTCTTCTGTCGGTATTGTACAGTTGGGCCATCTGAATAAAAATGAATCCCGTCTACTTTGGGTAATTTCTCCTTGACCAACTTAAGCACAGGTAAGAGATGTGCCCAAATGGCATCTGGTCCGTGGTCTTTGTTTGGACTTAAACTTGCAAAAGATTGATGACCTTTTTCGGTATATAACACCCCAGTGTGGAGACTGATCTGTTGTCTGGACCCATCAAAATGCATGGCTTGTATTTCAGTGGCTAATTTGCAAGAATAGTTTTCCGAAAAATCGACGTGTAGAACGACAGTACGGTCATCTAAATTTTCTATGCACTGCCGATATTGTTTGTACTGATGCACGATATTGTAGGAATAGATTTTGAAACTTCGTAGTTCTTCTTGAAAGGCATCTAGGAGCATTTTTAGCGAACCAGTTTTTTTTTCTATGACGTTTTTTTTTCGTAATCTTTGTCACATCACAATTTTTTTTTGGTTTGTATTCATGAGATTTCAAAACCCATTCATCCCATGAAACATTATAGTTTAGATCTTTTTCACCCATAGAAAAATCAATACGTTTGTTTTTGCAAAAATCACAGTCTCCGTAAGCACATTCCTTTGACTTTGAAGAACATACAACCATACTCAGTAACTCATCAAGATCTGTTGTTGCTATTAATCCAATTGACTTCAATGACGTGGCTTTCATTTGCAAATTTTCGTGCCTCTTGCAAGCGCAAGTTTCTCGTTTCTCGGCTTTTGGTGGTAATACATAAAAGGGTCTGTACCTTTTGAAAGTTGAAAATGATAATTTTCCTCCTTCTTCTCTATATTTCTGATATAATTTATGTAGAGTGCCAAGCAAATTCTTTCTTTGTTTTTTTGTTTTTTTTTTGTCTTTACTTCGTTTTTCCCTGCTGTCATCCTACTCACATCATCCCTTTCATAAAAGTTTCTTAACTGTGTCTGTATTAATGAGCTTTTATTTTTCTGTTTAGTGTGACGAATTTTTCCTTTAAGACCTAAATAGGTAGCCATCTTAGTTTTCATACTGTATTTATTAATGTTATCACTTTTGGTAAAAAAAATCTTTAATTAATCGTTTTTCTTGAGTGTTTTTACTTTTGTAGCTGTCTTTTATAGTGCCCACTATTACATTATGTTCTAGCAAAACTTTTTTCACGCTTTCTCTTTCTTCAGGTCGAATACTAGGGAAATTTTGGTCAATGTATGCGCACGTTTTCGAAACGGGGATCATTTGTTCAAGGGCTTTATCTTTTTTGGCAATTGGGCTTGACCTGTCTTCAAAGCTACGAATCATTTGCTTTTTCTCTTCAATAATTTCAAGTAACTTTTTATTTTTTTTCCATAGAACGGTTTAATCTTTGCCTAATTTTTTTCAATGACTTTTTATATTTTTTTAATTCCTCTTCTAGCTTTGTGTTTTCATTTTTCAGTCTATAAATGACCCTTCTATTATAATTTCTCTTCTGTGTTAAAATTTGTCGTTCTAAAGGCACTACTTCAGGCTTAGGTTCTTTCTTACTTTTCTTCTTTCTCTCTCTCCACTGCTTTCTAATGATTTCTTGATCAGATAAAGGATATTCTGCTATTCTTTTTCTATTTCTTTTTGTTCTTTCTGCATTTTGTTTTTGCTGCAATTTAAATTTTTCAGGATTTACTTCTTTCATCCGTTCTCGATAAAGTTTCTGCATTTCTTTAGGTGTTAGAGGCATCTGTAAAATCAACATAAAATAAAAATAAAAACCATGAATGCAGTTACATTTTACTTTTTGTTGTATTAAGTAAACTTTTTTCTGGTTTAAAACCCAAAAATAGCCTACTTTAAACAACAAATTTATATGGGACCAGCCTGAAGGCGTTCTCTATTCACCAAAAAGTATTTTTGAAATTGGTCTACAGAATCTGGAGAATCGCGTAACATACATACAAAAGAAAATAAAAAATATCAGTTGAATTGAGAACCTCCTTTTTCTTGACACAAAACATAAATATTTAGCTTTTTCTATACCTAAGTATTGCAATGTGAACTAAGCTTTATACTTTTCACGTGTCACAATAGTATATATATATAATATACGTCACACAACTTTGTAACACACGCAACATACGTGAGCAAACACTCGTGAAGAACATAACCTAAAATTCAGGTAGCATCTTTACTTGCAAAGCAAATTCGTAATAAACTGCATTATTTAGGAATATTTAATGTCTCTTTCAACTATATATATTACAAAACAACTTAATGTTATTACTTACCTTGCAAAATTATTTCCAAAAGTCTCTAAAATCCAATGACGAAAAATAACACACACCAAGTACTGCCTACTGCCCGTAAACCAAGATGTCTGACAAAACACTGACGTTTCATATTGAAAGTTATAGTGTTGCCATTGTGAAAAAAATAGATGACGTGTTGCTATTGCTTCTACCAAAAAAAGCTGCTATGTAACACAGTTTTTGTAACACACGTGAATCAGATGGAATACATTTGTTTATTCAATCGTTTTTTAATTATTTTTTTACTAGTTTTATTACACTTATTATTAGAACAGTAGTTTTATGCAATTACATTTAGCATAACATTAAGAAATCACGATACTTTATTCAAACGATGAAGTAATGAAGAAAAAGAAAATGTACTACGCATGGACACATTTTATTTTTTTATGAAATTACATCTCACCAACTTTTTGTACCAGTTTGTTTTTGCTTATATTAAAAAGTATCACAATTTAAATGGAGTAATATTAACAAGCGAATAATGCCCAATACAGAAAATAATCAGATTATTTACAAAGAATTACCAAAAATATATTATATATTCTTGAATTTCGGCACGTGAAAAATATAGACGAAGTACATTTTTAGTGAGCCTCAATTAGAAATTACTTTTTTTTCTTCAAAAAAATCGACCGTTAAAAAATAATTTTAATTTAAAAAAAATTAATTTACAAATTGTATGTGGTTTTTTACCTCTGCCTTGTCTGGGGAGTAACAGGATTATCAAACCAGCCACCAAAGCTCGTGTCAGTAGAGTTAATAAAACCAAATACAATTTGCAAAAAAAATTACATATAATTTGCAAAAAATATTACAGTATTCAAATATATATAAAACATTTTCTGAAGAAAATAAAATTTCTATACGTTTGCATACTGATTCTGATATCGCACTTATTAGAAACCACAAGATTTTTGTTACACGTAGGTATATTCAAAAAATATTTAAAATTCATACAATTTACCTCAAAGTTCTGTCTAATTAATAACTTAGCTTTTATATAATCAAAGACCACATTTTAACTTTCCGAGAAGCTGTTTGTCTGGAGATTTTGAGTTTTGTCGGTAGTCTGGAGATCATTTAAAATGTCGGGAGAATTCAGACCAATCCCAACCATCTGGCATCTGGCAAGTAAATTTTAATACGTAAGATGAATTGTTAGTGGATGAAACAAGTGCTCCCAAGTTATTATCGCGTCACAAATGTTTGCTGGCTCAAGCTGCCGTCAATATCTCCCAAAAACTTCGCAAAGTGACGCATCAACATATTGTAAAGAAGTTAACGATAATTACTTATTACTTGATACTGGCAGACGTATAATCGTACGAATACATTACCAAAGAAAGAAAGAATAAAATATTCCTTAGTCGACCTTTTTTAAAAACGTTTCTTTATATATGAGGTATGTGATCTCGACAACAGCGTCACCATCCAGGAACTTACTCAAATACCTACACACAAACAATTTATACAGATTAATTTTATTATTCATTATAGACCAAACTATAATTATTATTTTTTACATTATAACACCCCCGCAATCCTCTTTGTTAGTGGAATTTCGTAAAATTCGTTCTCAGTTGAACTCAAGATGACAAATATAATAATTTCGCCAAATTTCAAATCTGTGGGAGCTGTAGATTAAATTTTTTTTTTTTTATCGCTCCCGTACTGCCGTGGTGGAATTTCACAAAATCTACTATTGGTTATTTTTAACATGCCAAAAAGAATATTCTACTAGTAAGGGATCTAAATTGGTGGACTCTAGTTCAGTCTCAATGCCATGTATAGTAATGCCACATGTATTGGCAACCTAAAAATTAAGTGTACTTAAATTAGTTTTGTTTAAAGTACATTTTGTAGCATCTTAATTAAAAAAAAAACTTTTTATAATTAATATTTATTTCTCCCGCCAACCCCCAAATCCCAATATAGTCCAGATATTTTGGTCTTCCGGTATGCTGGTACTCTGGCAAACCTACCGGCGCGGCGGTCAATTTCCCGCATTAACTCCAATAATTATTTACTTATTCTGCATTAGTACATCATCATCATCATGGTATTTTCAACAGTGGTAGAGCCACGCGGCAGCTTTGCTGTTGCACGTATGGGCCGGCTCAAACCGGGGTGGTACCACGACCTCACAGAATACCGGCGTGAAGTGGAAGCTCTGCTTCCGCGTTTCGTCTGGTGAGTGCGTGTGGCCGGAGGTCCAATTGCCGCCCCCCCCCCTTAACATGGTAGCGATATTAAGTGGAGATCCCTACCCCAGGAGGGTACCAGCACCCCTGGAGAATCCCTCGCTGAGCATCCACGACCAAGTTACTCCACTCCTGAGCGTGGGTACTCAAGCTAACCCGCGTATTCAGGGGGGGGGGGGGCAAATTCCGCTCAAGACACAACTGCTCGGGGCAAACGGAGCAACAAGACCAAGGCGACCCCTGCCACGCTGTCCGTGAATTTCTGCAATATCAGGGGACTCTCAGCGGTCAGTCTTAGCGGTCAGCCGCCGTAGAGTCTACATCACCTGAAGATGCCTCGTGTAGAGGCGAAACACGTGTCGTATTATCGTCGATGGTGTGTCTTTCCTGGAATAGTGGTGTTGAGAGTAGTGGTGCCGGGAGTAGTGGTGTTGGGAGTAGTGGTGCTGGGATTAGTGGTGACGGGATTAGTGCACACAATTGAGGGAGGGCGGGAGGTGCTCTTCAATCCAGGTAAGACACATCATTGTATTTATTAAGCGGATGGTTGCGAATTAATTAATATCTTTATTGAAATGTATTTCTGCAAAGTAACGCCTGATTCTATCAAATATCAACTAAATGTAGTCCAGTTTAACCCTTAGAAGACACAAGTTAACAGCTAAAAAAAACCCTTTGTCGTATCCCCTCAGTTTCAAGGCACTCCCCTCGTTGCCTCAGCCAGTATCGGAATCCTCGACGTCGACATATCGAGTGACGTGCAGTTTCGTGGTCACTTGAAAGAGAAGGCCAAATTGGCCTCTAAAAAGCTTGGTGTGCTCAGCAGAGCGGGGCAATATTTCATGCCGGCACACCACCTGCAACTTTACAAGGCGCAGGTTCGGAATGGAATGGAACATGCACATGGAATACTGTTCCCATCTCTGGGCTGGGGCTCCCCAGTACCAGCTCCTTCCACTTGACCGCATGCAGCGCAGAGCGGCTAGAATCGTCGACGACCGAGTGCTTTCCGATCGGCTCGATTTACTGGCGCTGCGAAGAGATATTGCATCTCTTTGCGTATTTTATCACATCTATCACGGGGAGTGCTCTGAGGAACCACTGTACGTTTAACTAAGAGTTTTCTTCCGCGTATGACCTCTCTGTGGAATAGTTTACCACCAGCGATTTTTCCGGACCGATATGACCTGGGGAGCTTCAAAAAAAGAGCTTACTCCTTTCTAAAGGGCCGGCAACGCACCTGCAATTCCCCTGGTGTTGCAGATGTTCATGGACGGCGGTAGTCACTTAACATCAGGTGAACCGTATGCTCATTTGCCTCCTCTTCTATAAAAAAAAATCAACAAATTACCTACATAGTGTAGTTAGTTTTTTTTTAAATAAAAAGTATATATAAATTATAAAAAAATATATGACAAGAAATGATTTTTGTCATATATTTTATAATATACGATTATATTTTCTGATATATAGGTATAATATATAATATTTTCAATGGATTAAAAAAATAAAGTTCCTACTTTATATCCCTCCCTTTTAAAAATATAATCTCCATATAATTATAATAACATTTATTTATTTTTTCTAATTTATTGTATAAAGTTGCAAAAATATTCCATTCAAATTAACTACTTTTTGAATATATTTAAATATAAAAGGAATTAACAATATGGCACTAAGTTGTCCATTCACAGACTAAGTATTAATATTTAATAGAATAACCCAAAACAAAATTGAGGGTGAATAAATTTAAGTATAGTGCGCTGAACACCTCCTAGTCTTAAAAGAGATGAAGATTCTAAAAAATGGTTTGTTATACTTGTACACTTGGCATAACTTACCCCAACAACTAATGTGGAAGTGTATGAAACAGTAACTTATTTTTCAATATATGTACATAGATTATAAATTGAAAGTCACTGTTTTGTTTAATTACCACTGGATCTGAACAAAACCTCGGTCCTCAGAAGAACCAGCAAGAAACCCAGCAAAACTGTTTTTATAATAAGAGCTTACAATCATGTTTGTTAGACAATTAACCAACACAAAACAAATAAGAAACACAACTTGGTAGCGATTCTCGAATATATCGTTCCATTTAATTAGCTGTGTTACAACTATGGGAAACTCCGGAAAGATCACAGCTTCTCACAGATTGCCATTTCCAATGGGATAGACTCATGTCTAGCAGTTGACTTTACGAACTAATGAAGATGGAGAAGAATGTGCTT